ATTCATCTCATAATCGTATGCTTTGGTGATAGCATTGTGTGCTCGACGTGTAATCGTTCTCGTGCTTACATTCCCCGGTCTCCACCGTCAGCGTTCCAGAACAACAGAAAAAGATTCAAAAAAACCCCCCCAAAAAAAGCTAAAAGCATAATTAACCTTTGTGTTTATCTCTCTGCTCGATAAACTTTACCACAGACATAAATTTTTGCCACTAGTAAAACCCACCAGACGGCTCGAGTCCGAGTGGATGGTTTTTTTTTTCTGTCTTTTCTTGTTACCCGACCAACTGCGCATAAGTACACACGTGCACGGCTTGTACTTGGTTAGCGTATCAAGTACCCTCCCCAAAGCTTCTGCAGACCATGAGCATCCAAGCTTCCAAGGCATAACATCCAAGCTTTTTACGTACCATTGACATCCAAGCTTGTACACAACAATAGTAATAATAATAACAACAACAACAACAACAACAACAACAACAACAACAACAACAACAACAACAACAACAACAACAACAACAACAACAACAACAACAACAACAACAACAACAACAACAGATCCAAGCTTCTCACAAACACATGCTATGCCCCCGAAAGAAGAAGAAAAGAGTAGTATTTGAGCTTCATACAACAACAACAACACTATCAAAAGCAACAATCCACTTGGCAGACCACGCCGTAAACTCGTCTTCCCGCCCCGGACTTGTTGCCGTCGCCGTGCCCGTCCCCCATGTACACCGCACCAGCTCCACAGCGCCCTTGGCTTCTGCACAGCACCGCTCCACCATGTGCTTGGCCTCGTCGCCATCCAAGTCGTAAAACGCCCCTGCAATGTCATCCACCGTCTCGGGTATGCGTTTGAGCATTTGCATCAGGGCGTTGAGGGTAGAGTGTGGGGAATTCGTGTCCTTGTCATGTTTGTTCTTGTCGCTGTTATCTTCCAATGTCCATGTCGATATAGTAGTCGAAGCCGGAAACGTCTTCAACCGCCGCTTAATCAGCGCTTGATACAGCATCGCCACCATCTTCAGCTTCTTGACACTTTGATCCAGGAGCGCTTTGATTTCCGTGTCGCCCCTGGATAACTTTTTCTCGGTCCCGAATATCTCGTCTTCATCTTCGTCACTTGCTTCTACACCATCATCATCCTCATCGTCATCCTCATCAGCAACATCCTCCCCCCACTCCTTCAACTCGTCAATCGCATCCACAAGCACAGCACGGTACTCCTCTGCCTTTTTCACAACGAGCCCTACAACACCCTCATCGCACAGCTTGACCAGCCCATCACACGCCTCCCACACCACGCCCGTAGTCGACAGTACATTTTGTTTTTCAGCCTCTGTAACCGAGCCTTTGCTTTTGCCGTTGCCTTGTTGTGACACTGCTGCTGCTGCTGCTGCTTGTGCCTCGGCGATGCGGCAAACCAAGCTCAAGACGTCGCTCCAGCACGCCAGGATCCCGCGCACTTGACTTGTGATTTCCGTCTGTAGAAGCATGTGTACATCTCCACTGCTACTGCTACTGCTATTACTACCACGAGGTACATAGCTAGCGGCAGCTACCATGCCACTCAGCGCCCCTGAACTCACGTCTCCAATCTTTGAAGACACTGCCGACGCTGTAAACGGCGGGTTGATGAGCAGCAGCGAGAGCGTCGTCGTGTGCGATTTTAGCAGTGTGGTGCTGGATTTGAGGAGCGAGAGGGGATCGCTGATTTCGGGTGACGAAGACGACGGTGACGACGAGACATTGTTACTGCTCTGGCTGGTGGGTGCGGCGAGCGACGAGGCGTAGTGCGTGAGGAGTGCTTGTGTGGTTTTTGTGAGTTGGATGAGGTTGGACATGTCTTTTGGTTTGGACATGTTTCTTTCCTTCTTTCTTTTTTCCTTTCTTTACTGGTTCCTTCTCTTAGCCAGTGTACTTGCGACACTGTCCAGGCTGCGCGTTAGAAAATCGATCAACTAGTCTTCGGTGTAAGACGCGCTGCTGGGAAAAAATATTGGCGGGGCTTGCGGAGGGGACCCAAACTGCTTATCGATAAGACAAGAGGAAAGCTGCTTTTTTACATGTGTCTGCGGTACCCCAATCGCCTAGACAGAACCCAGGGAAACTGACGACTCATCTGAAAAAAAAGGCATAGACTATCCCAGCAAATTGTATTCTAGCCATACCTATAAAAGCAATGACTCGAAATGAGTATCGAGTCATACACGGTGCATGAATCAGCTCAGCATACCAAACACAGCACTCGTTCAGCTCTTGCTCGCAAACACTCAATTCGCTATTCAGATAACTTGTCTTAGAGCAAAGGCACAGCTGACAGCCTGCTCAACATCTTAACCACATCTCTACATCTAGTCATATCGAGCACGCGGATCAACCGCAGTACCCGAATACGTCCTTTCTTTCCCTTACAACTCGCTATGCTCGGGCGCGGCCTTGGGAACCTCAATACCACACACAGCTGGCGTACCCATCTCCATCCTGTACACACACTTCTCTTCCTCGACAATCTTCCAAATCTCATCCTTTTCCGCACACGCCAAAATCACAGTCGTACTCCGGTTGGGTCCGTTCCAGCAGTGCTGACCATTCTCGTACTTGAGGGCAATGCGCTCGCCGCTGCCTAAGCCTTTGCCATCTGCGGGTAAAATCTCATCGACAGTAATCGTCTCCACGCGGGCAAAGTTACCCATGCCCGTGTTGCCGCCACCCTTCTTGGGCTTCTGCGTCGTACTCGAGAAGAAGCAGTGCTCGTATGTATACTCACCTGAGTCGGTAGAGAAACACTGGTCCTTGAGGGCGCGGAAAATAGAGTCTGGACCATAGTCCTTGGTAAGATCTTCTTCGTGCCTCGTGAGCTCCGATTTGTCATCTTCGAGTTCCCTCTTGGCTGCCTCGAGCTGCGACTTTGCATCCGTAACAGCTTTCGATTCAGGGGCATCTGTGCCGGTGGGATCAGCGAGGATTCCGTTCTCAATGAGCGTGATGCGCAGATCCCGAAGCTTGCTGTCGACCCAGCCGCGAATGGATTCAGGCAGGTATTCCTCGAATTGGTAAACTGATCGGAGTTAGCCGGTAATCAGAGAAAGCCTTATACTTGTGCTTACGGAGCTCAACATCAGACTCGTCGGTTTTCTCAAACTCGTCCCAGTTGATCGCACTCTCAGAGTTTGGATTGAGAATGTCATCGAGATCTCGGTCCAGAGCCTCATTGGGACCAGGCCGGTCCTGTGCAGCATAGTTTTCCCACGCCTGCACCGCACGCTTCACACCCTCGTCGTTGAAGTTGGGGTTGTATTCCTCCTTGAAGCGGGTCAACATGTCCTCAAGTTCCGCAACCTTTGCTTGTGCCGAGTCTCGCTCGTTGCGTAGGCGGTTGACATTGTCAGTCAGCTCTTGGATCCTCTGCTTGGCCACGCCAGCCAGCGCTGTGACCTTGCCGCCCTTGCCGGCACCCTTGGCCACCTTGCCACGCTCTGCCCTCTCAATTTCAGCAAGAGACTTTGTCAGCCCATCGACCTTCAGTGTTGCGCCTTCAATCTGCGTCTTGAGCGTCTCGATGCGGTCCTCGACCTCCTTGCGCAGGCGTTTGGCTTCGGCCACCAATTCCTTCCGCCGTTGCCTGGCAGCAGCAAGGCTCTGCTGTCGCGCTTCGTTGGCCTTTCTCCACTCCTTGCCGATGGTCGCACAGCGATCTTCGCATTTGACCCCTCCAACATGTCCAAACTCATCGCTTCCGTCGCAGCATAGCTCGTAGTCGCAGACACCGTCGTTGACGCTGGTAAAGGGAATATAGCTGGGTTGGTGACCCTTGTTCTTGCAGTAGAAGCCAGGGAGAGCCGGTGTTGTGTTGCTGTCTTTGCCCTCGAAGCCTAGCGGCTGTGGTGGGGAGAGGGGAGAGAGATAGGAGCAGGCCGAGGTGCCGGGCTCGTCTGAACCATCGGGGCAGTCGCAGTAGTCGTCGTTGAGGCGCGCGACGGGCAGTTTAATGGAAGGATTCGAGATGCAAGTAAATGTCTCGGCATCCTTGTAGTACTTTGCAACTAGACAATGGCCGTCAGCATGCACAGGTCTGTCCATGGCAGCTGTCCATGAGCTCCAACGGGTGCAACATACACTCGGGACCTACGCCCCGCGGCCGAGCCGAATCTGACGCCGCATCTGCAGTGCTGGCGATGAAGGGCAGTATAAAGGCAAGGGAAGACACGTGCTTTCTTCCCATTTTTCCAATGTGTTGGGAGGAATTGGAGTTTGAAACTACAACTTGGTTGAGATGCCACATCAACGTACTTACAGGGTCCAGCTTGGAGACCAATCAGAGTCCGTCTGTGCGCTGACCTCCTCAATTAGGCCCACCTCCGCCTCCGCTCAACTCCAGCTACACAACAGTCGTGACGTCTTCGCATGGCTTTTTCAAGACCGAATAGCAGCTATGTCATGCACAATACTGATACATCTGGCGAGTGAGCTACTACCATTGAACTGGCGAGAAAAAAAAAAAGTTAAAAATTACAAGCGGGTATGAACTGGCAAAAAGATGAGACACAGGACGTGTTCCGGATATGGCCCAATTGGGTCATGAAATTTAAATCTGCTATTTGCTTTTGGGATGTATAATGAGACCCTTTATCGCATGCCTCATCGACCCACGCTTACAGAGGGTTTGCCCCTTTGGGTATGTTGGCCTTAAAAACGAGAACCTGTGTGTCTATATTATTACCGCTTGCATCCACATACTTGTTCTGGCCGAAGTTAATGTAACCTATACAAGCATTAGTCAGATAGAATCAAAATTCAACAATCATCTTACCATTCTGCGTGATAAAGTCGTTGTCTGAAAAGGAAACAAGGTAGTACTGTTTTCCTTCATCCTCATTCTGCCTGTCGCTCCAACCTATCTTGTCGTCCTTATCGACAGGCAGCATGGCGAAGCTCTCCCATTTCTCGTTGAGCAATTTCGAGTCTTGCTCACCGCCGTTGTGAAGACCAAATTTGCCGAGCTCATTGTTGTTGTTGTAGGATAGCCATGGGCAGTAAGTGACGGGGACAATACCACTCTTCAATACGCCATCCTTGCTAGCAATCTGTCCACCAAAGCTGTCGGCAGCCGTCCCAAAAACATTTGTAGCATTGGAAATGTCAATTACATCGGCATTGCGGTAGATGGACTCTGTTTTCTCTGCTCCTTGGCCAGCGTTGGAGTCGCGGGCGAGAACCAAGAATTGAGTTTCTGAAATGTAGTGCATCTCTGACTGGCTAGCGACGCGCCCTGTGGAGAGGACGGGAAGTTGGACAACATAATCGGCCTCTAGAGTCGTCTTTTCGTCCTTGACACGGTACTTGAGAAGACGGGTGTTGCGACGTTTCTTGGAAGAGCTTCCACCATCCTGTATGGTGGCACTTTGGAGCATCGTGTACAGGTACTTGCCATCTGGGCTGGCCGTCAGGGCTTCTAGACCCTGATTGTTGCCACGACCACTGGTAGGATCTTTGGGTGTGATCTCAAAGTCTGGGTCGTAGATGGGCGGGGAATCAGCGCTGAAGCTGTCGGCACCGTTGCGACGGGGAATGAAGGCATCTGGCGTACGAACAGCCTTGGTCATCTTGCCATTAGAGTCGAACTGGTAAATATACGCAGCATACTCGTCACTGATCCAAAAAGTCCCATCATCTCCAAGGACCAAGCCCTCGGTGTCGAGAGCGACACGAGCACCACCAGTACCGTTTTGGCCAAAGCCATTACCGACATCTGCAATTATTAGTCTATTCTTACTAGAGACAGAGCGCGTGCCTCACATGTTGCCAGTGGAAGGTCAGGGAATCCCGGGTATGTGATGGTATCAGTAGGGTCAAGGCCAGTGAGGGGTGTGCCATCAGGACCAGTAAGCAGCAGAGTGTCGAGGTAGGAAAGCTGGAGGTTGGGACTCGCTGGGTCTGCTAGCGTAGCTTTGACTGGCGTGAAGCTGGCGCTGAACTTGTGAATTCTTGTCTGCGTGTTTTGGGTCCCCTGGGTGTTCCAGCCACGGTCAGGCAAGCCCCAGACTAGGCCTTGATAGGCTCCGTTTTTGTACTTCCACGACTTCTTGTCGAATGCGATGGCGCTCCCAAGGCCTCCAATCGTGTCACCAAACTTGTCGCGAGCATCGCTGGCTATTGACTGGCTGGTGGAGAGATTTGCCGAGGAGGACGAATTACCGCATTGGGTGGTGGCGTAAGCGGACTTGTATGTCTTTTTGTCCATACAGTAGCTGCCCCTTGGTGTCGATGGCAGTGCTTGGTGCTTGGTGCTTCCAGGTTAGAGGAATTGTATGGACACTGTATACTCTGATCAACCAGATCCACCCAAGGTTGTTCCATTGCCATATCCAGACAATACGACGCATGCACATTCTGCAAGATGTTGTTTCCGGTACTTAGTTGGAACTTGCAGCTGATTGTGGAGGCAGGAACAGCCACCAGCCCATGCTCTTTCCACACCAAGACCTTCCACTGTGTAACAAGACCACGATGCACACATTGCATCTCCTCACCTCACGCTCTAACCCCTCACTCGCACCACCTATACCTGGATACATCTCCTGAAACATCTTTACCAGCGGCCTGAAGGTTCCCTACACCTGAGGCAGAGGCTTCCGCCCATGGCACTCTCGTCGCTCACGAAAACCGTATTACCATCTTCTGGCGACGACTAAATATCCAAGTTCACTTCGAATCTTGCGCCGGACAAGCACGCTGCTTCAGAGACATCATCGACGGCCTTGATTGGAGAGGGAGAGAGTGACTCTACCTTCATCGCACCTGCAAATAACGACAATTGGGATGGGGAAGGCCATTCCAAGCGAGATACGACGAAGCAGTTGTCGCCAGCCACTCCGACACGTGCACTAAAGCGATCTACCAGCGATCTGACTGTCTTGAACCAGACCCAGAAGGAGCCGAGGACTGCAGTCGCTGCGTTGAACGCTATCCGATCCAAAGATGACATGTACCACTTGGAACGTGCAAGCTTACACTCATCGCACATACCACTGCGATCGCCTCTCACTACCATAAGGCGGTCTACTAGCAACCCGCAGACTTGCCCTAGTTTGGTTGAACACAATCCAAAAAAGGCAGATAAACGACTTTTTGGAGCCACAGAGCCTGTTCCTGAACAGCCTCTCCGGCCTGACCAGCTTCACCGTATACTGACGGTGGATGGGCCATTGACTAGAACGAGACCAGCGCTGCCGAGATCCCCTGCAGTCCGCTCAAGCTCAGATCCGCACCTAGGAAATGTTTTCATAAACTCCAAGTCGCGCGACCGTGACTTGCCATTGAAGTCGTGTATCAAGAAGAAGGCGAAAAGCGACACCATCACTCCGCCTGACGGGATTCAACAAGATATGATGGAGGCTGATGGAAAAAGGATTCGTCGTGTCAAGACTGTCGATTTCAAAGGAGAGTGTACCCGACCCTCGCTTTTGTATCCTCAAAAAGCTGTCATATCAACGAGTTTGAACAACGTCCCAACGCATCATGTCAATCCAATTTCTAGCCCGGGTAGCAAGCCAAGGGAGTTCGCTAGGCCATCTTGGCTGTGTCCGAATACCATTAGCAAAGTCAAGAGCAGTGTGGCGGACACGGCGGTGACACGAACAGATGTACATGTCATCGCTATTACGCCCTCGTGGGATGCGCGTGACATAACCAATGAAGAAGAGACTGACCCAGCCACACCAACGATGCAGATTATAGAAACAAAGAGTCGCAGCTACGAGGTGGTATGGGACGATGTACCACCCGAGCATAAAATCCGCGTGAGAGGTCGGCGAAGCTCTTCTGCAAGCCACTCTTTGGAGACAGCCAGTCCAGGTGCCAGACGTGGTCTTGAACGAGTCAACTCGAAACTTGCCGGGTGGACTGGCAGCTGGAACAGTCCATCAGAGAGCTTCAAGCCCACGATTGTGGTCTTCCCAGATGACGATGGTCGAGCCACTCATTACGACTGCGCCGTGGAGGACAGAGACGATGTACCGCTATTGGCGCCTCCAAACAGCCAGGTCACCAGTGCCACATCTTCTTGTCATCCGTCTCGTCCAGCAAGTGCACCCATGACCAGGGCGGCTTCGCATGAAGACATGTCATTGGAAGCTGCGTTGCACGAAAAGCCCCTGCATGCTGCCCAGGATTTGCTGCAGCCCTCGCTCCTCGTACCCAATCCTGAGATGCATTCCAAAGGACGCAGGAACCCACATTTTGTCATGTTTCGCCAGCTGTCGAACCTCGAGGAGGTAGATACGAAATTCCGTGGTCATCGCGATTCGGTCACCATGGCCCATGCTCGTCTTGTACGCTCTGGACGAGTCTCACCTGAGCTATTTGAAGGCCGAGACTCTTCGACTGCAGCTAAGAAGCGGATGTACAATCGAGATCATGCGAAGTCAGCAGTACGAGCGAGTTTTCAACCCAAGGCGTTGTCGACTGAGGCGCTGGATCTTGTTGAGGGCAATGGAATTTCCAAGGCGCCATTGCCTACGGTTAAGGAGCATGCTGCACAGGCACTGCAGAGTGGTAGCCCGCTATCGATTCTTCGCTCACCGCAACGTATTGCTGATCAGCGGCATATCCGGATTGTCGAATAGGTGGCGTTGGCAGGCTGAGGCTTCTCAGGCGACAGCCTTAGCATGATGTAAGACAAGGTGAGATTTATCGCCAGAACTTGCCCAAAGTTGCTATCCACGTGGAGCGAACGATGTGGTACTTTCACCGGTACTGACAGGCTTCGATTGTGTATTCTCTGGTCGGATGGGTTTGAAGCGTGGATGGTAAGATGATGTAAGGGACGCGTCGACGATTGCCGAAGCCGATCGATGCTGGCTGGCACCGCTTCTCGTACCTATACCATCCATGGCTAATGCTACAATGGATCAGACTGCTTTTTTTCAGCCTGTGCCATTGTTTTTGTTTGCATCTACCGTAATGCTCCAGATGTGCGCTTCATCGAAAGCTGAGCGCTGTGCTTGTTGAGCTACCCCTGCACTGCCCCCAGCCCCCTCCCCCACGCCCCGCGGTACCATGTGGCGTCATCAGAATTTAGTGTGCATGCCTCCAAATCACACAATTGATGTTTCCGATGACATGTTTGGTTAGTGTTGAAGAGAGCGAGAGCACCGGCCTCGGAGTCGCAGAGGGCTAAGGCTCTAACAGTTGGCGTCGCAGCAGGCGTTTGAGCATTCGTGGTGATGAATATCACGCCGAATCAAGGCGATTTCCCTATCATGCTGCAGGTCTTATATGTTGGCCACAGGGCAGGTATCACCATACCAGCACTTACATACACTTTGAAAATCAAGCTACGACGTGTCGACGATGGAGTTTGCGACAAAAGACCATTCCAAGCGCGGTCAGCGATATGACGCGCTACACAACGCTGATGACGATTCTGGTTCGCACACCGAGGTGGAGGACCATTGGGATACCGAGAACGCCATTCAGCCCAGGCGGAGAAGGAAAACATTTTGGAGAAGAGTGAAGGGGTGCCGGTGGATGATCGACACCACACTTTTGCTCGTTATTGTAGGGCTGCTGGCAGAGAAGCGATGGCAGCACCACACAAAAAGCCACGAGTACCAAATCGCTGGTGACATTACTGGATTTGCACCAACCTTTCGTCAGCAGATTGTGACTTTCAAGCCTGACTCTGCTTTCGCGCCCGAGGATCCGACACAGTTCTGGAGTAACGAGACACAGCACGCATGGCTGAGCATAGTACCAGGTAGGACAGGATGCCTCTTGCTTTTGATGCGAGCACTGCTGACAAAAACAAAGAGGGTCTAGGATACGTCGAGGTGAAGAAGCCGTCGGAATACTCAAACCTGCCACACCCGATCCACGACTATACCAACCAGACGGTCTTTACCACGTCGGTTACACACCAGTTGCATTGCCTCTACACCGTACTAGAAGCGTACAATTCGATGAAGATTGCCATTGCCTCGCCGGCATCGGCGAACCCGGTCAAGATGCCGTGGCACATCAACCATTGTTTCGAATACCTTAGACAAGCCATCATGTGCGCGGGAGACGTGGCGCTCGAGGGGGCCGCGACGAGCTTCCCAGGGAACGAGCACGGTGAAGATAGAGGGGGCAGCGATGGCTGGGATGCAAAGCACGTGTGCAAAGACTACGGCGAGATATACAAGTACCTGGAGAAGGAGACGATCAATCACATGAAGTGGATCTCGTCCGAGTAGGAGACGCATTCTGCATATATTTTTCCTCGGCGTTTCGGTCTTTTTGCTCGAGGAAACAATATACATGTGATGAAGCATGTAGAATTCAGACGGGTCCGCATTCGCTGCTAGATGCCAAGACATCTATTCCAGCATTTACAGGCAATGGACGCGCAAGACGTGTAAGACGACAGGACAGCACCAAGAAGTTATGGTGCTTACTGGCTGGAACTCCAGCCGTGCTTACACCACTTATGCACGCTTCGAAGACACGTGTAGGGTAGGGTATATAGCTCTACATAGAGCACCGCGTCCGTGCTGGGGGGCCAATCTATTATCTTGGTCAACTTCACACAGGGTGCACGACGAGGTCGACGGAGCAGACGCTAAAAAACACACGAATTCGCCGACGATGCATGGGCGGTGCAGACTGCCTGATGTGTCTCTAGATGTGATGGCGCGGGCGAATCACAAGGGGGCGTCAGAGGCTTTGCAGTCAGCGCCCCCCTCGGAGCAGAGCAGGGGGGACTTGGTAGCGACGGCATCACCGACAAGGCCATGGGTTCTCCTCATTAGCCTGCGAGCGTGCAACCTCAGCCCGCCCACCCCGGAGCGCACTGCTGCAATGGCTAAGACACCCGTCCTGGCCTCCCTCCGTCGCCGCTATAAGAGGCAGATCGTCCCGTGGACAGTGACTATCCCAGGTTCCGGCCCCGCTGGCTATCCGTAGTACCCTCCGAAAAAAAGTGAGCTTTGCCAATCCACGTGAATCGACGTCACGGCTGGGTATACTTGTCTGCAGCCTGGGCCGTCTGAGGCTTGTTAACACGCCCTACATCTACCGTCAACCAGGACAAGACCGACAGCGACCCAGTTTCGGGCTCCCCCGAAGAAAAATATTCACCACAGCCGTTGTACACGACTAAGAAGCCTATCTGCGCATTTGGTTCAAAAAGGGATACCGACCACGGCCACGGCGAGGCCGACGTTGGCCTCTACCCCACATCCAGCCTGTGCCAACCATTAATCAAACGGCTCCCGGAGTAGCATCTAAAGCCGCTACCAGTCAAACTCAATTCACCCTACTTGCCAACGCTGGGGGCAGGCGGAGGCGGCACTCAGCTTTGGAGGAAAAAAAAGAAACTACTTACCCAATCTTTTACTTTTCGCGCGTCACGGATTCGACGTAAACAAGTTCCAAGCGCCAACGGGACTGCCATAACTATAAATCACAGAAAACCCAGCACGTAAATCAAGTACCGTATCCCTTGAGCCTACAGACAGACACCATGGCGCACTCACCACTTCTCTTCATCCTCGCGGGTGCTGCCTTATCCTATATGCTGTATACCCGCATCACACTTTATCTCACACGTCAACGCTTCAAGAAAGACAATGGTTGCCAGCCATGCAAAGGCCGCTTCAACACGGACCCCTTCATAGGTCTGAATGTTGTCAAGGCCATGGCTTACAACAGCAAACACCACATCGCCATGCAAGAGGCAGTGAAGCGCTACCAGAGGCTCGGAAACACTTTCCACAGCAGAATCGTCAACTTGCCTGTCATTAGCACGTGCGAGCCGGAAAACATCAAGACTATCCTGAGCTTGAAATTCAAGGACTACAACTTTGCGCACAGGCAGCCTTCTTTCGGCCCTCTGCTGGGTCACGGCATCTTCAATGCAGACGGCGAACGATGGGCCAACAGCCGCCAGCTCCTGCGCCCAAACTTTGCCCGAGACCAGGTTGCCGACATCGAGGCCTTTGAACGCCACTTCAACCTCATGCTCAAGCATATTCCCAGAGACGGCTCGACAGTCGACTTGCAGGAGCTCTTCTTCCACTTGACGCTTGATACGGCAACCGAATTCTTGTTCAACCACTCCACCAACTCACTCGACATGATTGGCAACGAAAAGGCTGACAAGGAGGACGCCATCTTTGGTGACGCATTCAACTTTGCCCTAGCAGATATCAATGTGCGCCTGCGCTATGGACCCTTTGACCGCTTCAGGAAGAACACCAAGGGAAAAAAGGCTATTGAGGTTTGCCACACGTACATTGAGAAGTTTGTCGAAGACGCTCTTCGATTCAGACAGGAGCTGGATGCCGAGAAGGCGGCTGGCACGGAAAAGTACTACTTCATCCAGGAGGTGGCCAAGCAAACGACGGATAAGAAGAGGATCCGCGAGGAACTCATCAACATTCTGCTTGCTGGACGCGACACAACGGCCAGTTTGTTGAGCAACATGTTTTTTGAAATCTCCAAGCAGCCCCAAATCTACGCCAAGCTCCGGGAGGAAGTCGCTTCGATGGAGGGACGGACACCAACGTACCAGGAGCTGAGGAACCTGAAGTACGTCAAGTGGTGTCTCAATGAATGTAAGTGGTGTATTACCAAGTGACCATGTGCATATGCTAACCGCAGTCAGCGCTCCGTCTGCACCCCGTCGTGCCCATCAACTCACGCAACGCTAGCCGCGACACTGTGCTGCCCAGAGGTGGTGGCCCAGATGGCCAGGCACCACTTTTTGTTGCCAAGGGCACAGCAGTTACCTACACACCCTACGCCATGCACCGCCGCAAGGACATCTACGGACCCGATGCCGAAGAGTACAAGCCAGAGCGCTGGGAGACGCTCCGCCCGGGGTGGGAGTACCTCCCATTCAACGGCGGCCCACGCATCTGTCTCGGCCAGCAGTATGCACTTACCGAGGCGAGCTACGTTACAGTCCGCATGGTCCAAGAATTCCAGACGATGGAAAGCCGGGATCCTGAGGGATGGAAGGAGAATCTGACGCTGACACTGTGCTCGCTGAATGGCGTCAAGGTTAGCCTCACGCCAGCCCAAATGGCGCCTTGATCCGCCATGGTTGTCATGAGAAGATGTGAAAATGTAGTAGTCCATGACTTCTTTTTGGTATGGCAACTAGCAAGGGATCAGGTTGTATATGCCATGTTGGCTTTATTTGTAGCACATTTACGATTACGATTCTTCAATAGGAGACCCTCCGGCTTGAGGGCAGCTGGTGGGGTAGATTGCGGTGGGAAATAATAATAATTCGTTAACAATGAGCGACAAAGATGCAGCGCGTGTCGGTTGTGCATGCCAACACCACATGCTACGCTGTCGGCCCAATTGAGACTAGCGCCGGAAGTCCGCGACTCGGAACCCAGGAACAAGTGTTGATCAACAACCGCGAAACGCCCGCCCCCACAACTCGCAACCCTTTCGCCGTCTTCTCTGCCCTGTCCACGGCCTGCTCGCCGGCAGACAACATGTCGCGAAGCCACCGCCCGTCGACGACGCCCATGGACTTTGAGTGGACCAACCAGACTGGCCCCATCGACGCACAATCGCCCTTTCTTGCGGCCAGCCAGCACAAGAAGCGTAAGCATATCCACTGCCTGTCCCGAGACTCTCTACGTGTACACAGCGAGCGACATGGAACACGCACACTAACCCCAGCGCCTTGCTCTGGCCAATCAGGTCCCCACTCCGTCATCGACTCCCCCTCCAAAGGCGGCTTTGCGACGCCAACTCGTTTACGCGACCCCGACAACCGCATGACATTCTTCAGCCGCGACCCCAGCAAGCCGCTCCCCTCAACCCCAGCATCGTCGCTCCCCGCACACATCCAGCCGAGCCCCTGGTCGATGCGCACGCCCTCACACGACATCGACTTCAGCTCGGGTGGCGAGACACCGGGCACCCCTCAGATCGACAGCGACATCGGCACACCAGACACACAATTGGCAAGCAGGATGGGGCGCCTGGGCAATGGCGATACAGACAGGAAGGGCGGGCGCCGCGACAGCTGGTTCAAGCGCACCTTCATGTCGACGCCGAGCCCGACTAAGGATCGAGAACGGGAGCGGGAGCGGGAGCGGGAGAGAGAGCAGGACAAGGATCAGTCTCCAAAGTACTACTCCAAAAAGGCCGAGAACCGCATAGTCAAGCGCCGCTCAGAGCGGCCGCGATCCAAGAAGCGGACCGCCCTCCGTGACGACGACGACGACGACGGCGGCGACGACTCAGACATGGATCAGGGTCGCCCGCTCATCCCGCCCAAGGACGCGGGGCCTGTCCAGCAAACCTTCGCCATGAGCCTCGGAGGCTTCTTGTCGTGGGTGGAAGCGCATCCCAACCTCCCTTCGGTGCTCTCGTACTACCTCCAACTCACCGTCAACATGTTCCTCGGCAGTCTCTTCATCTACATTGTCTACTCGGCATGGGCGGGTGTAATGACCGACGTGGACATTGAATCTTCCAGGCACGCTTCAGAAATCATGGTGGAGATTGCGGCCTGCGCCACCGAATACAACCGGAATCGTTGTCGACCAGAGGAAGTGGTGCCGGCCATGGAGAAGGCCTGCGGCGTGTGGGAGACGTGCATGAACCGCGACCCCAAAAAGGTTGCGCGGGCCAGTGTGACGGCCAAGACATTCGCCATGATATTCAACAGCTTTGTGGAAGAGTTTAGCTACAAGTCGATGGTATGTTGTAGTCTCTTGTTTCTTATGTATTGGGCGACACAAGACCAAGCGCAACCCCTACCCCCGATACACGGGAACCTACGAAATCAAAGAAACGCACATGGCCGCTGCTTCTCCCTTTTGCCCTACACGTTCAAGTACAAAACCCGCTAACCATGTTCCCCACAGGTCTTTACAGCCATCATCATCTTTGGCGGCTTTAACCTCTCGAACTGGGCCTTTGGCCTCATCCGCTCCCAACAACAACAACAACAGCAGCAACAGCAACAGCAACAGCAGCAACATCAATCCCAAAACGACTTTATCCCCCAAACACCCCACCGTGTAGGATCAAACTCGTACATGGATCCCCACCAACAGCAGGGCTACCCCTCTGCCTACCAGCCAACCTGGCAGCAATTACCGCCCTACGCCCAGCAACAGCAACAACAACAGCAGCAAAATAACACTCCCTACACGGGCCAACGACACATTGAGCACCCGCCCCTCGTCCATGCACATACCATGCCCCAGCTTCCCACCAGCAGCTCCGACGCGCTGGAAACAACAAGTAGCAAGACGCCCAGGAGGAGGTTACTCCGGTAGATTTTTCTCATGTAGTTTATAAACATACTCTTTCTTTTTTCTTCTTTCTCTCTTTCTCTTTCTCTTTCTCCGTTTCTTTTTATACAACATATCCTCTATCCTCTCCGTTTCTTTACTCTTTCCCCACCTCTTAACCAAACATATCTTTCTGTTTTCCGTTTTTTCTTTTTCTTTTCTTACTTTTTGTTCTCAGTTGGTGTATGTCCTTCCATTCTTTCGTTAGGCGGGGGATTTATCTCACTTGGCTGCTTCATCTTTTTCTTCTTCTTCTTCTTCTTCTTCTCTCGAAACGCACATTCTTCCTATCTGTCATTTATCGGATTGGGAATCATATATCCTGATGATGTATAGATGGGCGGATGGAAAGAAAAGAAGCACCTGGGAAAAAAAACAAGGATGAAAGAGCGCAAATCTTGAAATCCTGGATAGATTAACGTGGTTCATAAGCGAGCGGACACCCCAAGCGAGCGGACACCTCCTCACCAGCGCGTCGATGTTCATACTACAACGCGTTATGTCTCAATCACATCAGATTCAACAAACTTTTTCTGAAGCTGATATCCAACTTGCTATTTCTGATATTAATTCCCAACGTGTAAAGAGTGTTAAACGTGCTGCTGAGATCTATAGCGTCCCTCGAATAACTTTATTTTACTGACGCGCTGGAAGACACTCTCGACGCGACTGCGAACCAAATTCAAAGCGCTTGAATAAGCTAGAAGAGGAGGCTATTGTTAGGCGTATTCTTGAAGAGTCTGCGCGAGGATTTGCGCCTACAAAGGCTGAGGTTCGAGCAATGGCTAATAAACTGTTAGAGGAGCGTGGTGGCAACCCTGTTGGCAAGAACTAGGTTGACAACTTTGTTAGGCGGACTGCTGAGCTCCGTACGCGCTGGAGCCGTCCCTATAATCACCAGCGAGCCGCCTGCGAGGACCCAGTAGCTATCCAGCGCTAGTTCGACTTAGTCCAGGCGACAAAGCAGAAGTGGGGTATTGTGGACGACGATATCTACAACTTTGACGAAACTGGCTTTATAATAGGCAAGATTTTATCACAGTTATTAATCACAGGCTCAGAAGGATATAGGAAAAAGAAGCGGATACAGCCAGGCAACCGCGAGTGGGTTACTGTGATCCAAGGCGTGGGCGCATCAGGTCGCCGGATACCACCCTTCGTTGTCTTTGCGGGCAAGGTGCTTATTAACGTCTAGTTTAAGGATTTGCCTGCTAACTAGGTTCTTAAAGTCAGTCCCAATAGCTGGACGAATAATCAGCTTAGTCTTGCCTAGTTAGAGCACTTTAATACCCATACAAAGAGCTCTACTGTAGGTAGGTATCAACTACTTATTATTGACGGCCATGAGAGCCACTGCTCCATCGATTTTCAAGATCTTTGCAAGGAGAAGAATATTATTCTTCTCTGCATGCCTCCACACTCGTCTCACCTGTTGCAGCCCCTTGACGTCGCCTGCTTCTCGCCATTGAAGCGCAAGTATGGCGACGCTGTTTCAGGCTTGGCACGCAACCGCACCCACTATATTAGCAAGGAAAACTTCCTACCAGCCTTTAAGGCTGCTTTTGAGCAGTCTATCACGAAGGAGAATATCCAAGCTGGCTTCAGAGGTGCTGGTCTAGTCCCACACGACCCACAGGCTGTGCTATCTAAGCTTGATGTAGTGGTGCAGACACCTCGTCAATCACCACGACGGGTAGCTGCCTGGCAGGCGCAGACACCACGCAACGCGCGCGAAGTTGAGTCTCAAATTAGTCTCATTCAAGAGAGCGTGAGAAAACGCCGTGGATCTTCTGCCAATTCACTCACTAAGCAGATCGCGCAGCTAAGTAAGGGGGCCCAGCAAATGGCACATAAAATGACGCTTATGATGGAGGAAATGGGTACGCTTCGAGCGGCTCTTGACGAGTCAAATAAGCGTAAAAGCCGCAAGCGGCGATACGTACGGACAGAAGAGACTCTTACTGTAGGCGAAGTACAAGAAGTATTAGCTGAACAGGCGGGTAGCAGTCGTGGTGATGGTGAGAGTGCGTCGAAGAGGGTGCGAGGAGAGCGGCGGTGCGGGCGTTGCAAGCAGACTGGACACAACGCTCGTACCTGCGCAGTTGAGATAGATAGTGCAAGTGATAATAGCGATTCTGATAATTAATTTAGTATATTGCAATAGTTTATTGACTGTGATAAAAGGCTGTGATAACGTGTTGAAGTTGACGCGCTGGTGGGGAGGTGTCCGCTCGCTTGGGGTGTCCGCTCGCTTATGAACCACGTTAACCTTTTTTTTTGTTGCTTTGTAACAATCATGGCTATTGCACTTCCTCTTTCCGCTTTCCTTTCCTTTCCTTTCCTTTCCTTTTTTTTCTCAGTAGGCTAGATGATGTTTTTTTTTCTCGGTAGGATTGTTGTTGTCTTGTCTGGGTTTACAGAAAAAGGGAAATATGAATCTACATGGTGCTGTAGGTGCTACCCTCAAATGGCCAAGGTGGTATTGACAAAACATGGTTGATTTGAACTGTTTCCTTCTTGTTTGTATAGGTCATAACTATTTGTTTCTATTCAAGAAATGTCTTAGAGTTTGCTTGACAACTTATAAACGTACACCCCGGTGACTTGTCAAAAGAAAACTTCACAAACAGCACGTTTCATTACCACCCAACAACAAAAAGCTACTGCAAAGCGTTAAACAACCAAAATTGAACCAATGCATTACAAAATATCAGCTATGCGAGAAAAAGTTTCCTCAAACCCTCTCCCCAAACCAGGATATCAAAAATAGGGCAAAAACCATGTACAGCCACCTACCCTCAAACGCCATGATCCAATCCTCCTCTCATAACTGACATGACGTATAATCATACTACATAATCTAGGCTGCCGCCTCAGTCTTGGCCTCCTCCTTTCCACTCTCCTCATACTTCTCCCAGTTGGCCAGGATGTTGCCTATCTTGGGAGAGTTGGTAAGCTTGTACACATCCTCAAAGTACTCCTTGGTCAACGCAAACGGCTTGGCAGTCACGTTGGGAATGTACTTGCCAACCAGCTTGCTTGGGTCGATGGATGTCTTGTGAATCTTCTTGAGAAGGAAGGAGCGGAAGGGCTTGACACCAGAACGGAGGAAAGTCGAGTGGAAGGGCACATCGATGCCCTTGAGTGGGATGGTAGCGAAACCACGCTGGAGGTCAAGAGGCTTAGGCTTGGCCTCAGTTTGCTCAGCACATCCCTTGATGATCTCGACCAGATGGTTCTTGACCTCCTCAAGCGACAGTGTCTGCATGAGCGCTTGAATGTCAATCTTCTGTTGCTTGAGATAGTTTGTTACACCAGTGAGGCAGTCCAGAGCGCGGAGGTCACCAGCGGCAACGTACTGCATGTTGGCAATGTTGTAGTTGACAATCTCCAGCAGCCATCCGGTTGTTTCAGCAATGTTCTCCACAACGTATTGAAGAGCTTGCTCGTTGAATGTCTTGGAGATCCTGCTAGGGTTGACAGCGCACATGGAATAGTTGGAGCGGCCAGTCTCGTCACGCTCGACAGCGACCTGCATTGTAAGACCACGGTAGAAGACGACTGAGACCAAGCTTTCAATGGGCATGACCTCAGCCATGGCCGCCAGAGCAGAGTATTCACCCAGCGAATGTCCAGCAAACGTGCTTTCGACCTGGATCAGACCCTTGGCGCGCATATCCTCAAAGGAGGCCTTCTCCATGAGGGTAAGAGCCGGCTGAGTAAACTGTGTAGCGGACAGCAGACCAGCTGGTGACCGGTAAGTGTACGAGGTAGTGTTCTCGTCAATCTCCTTGAAAATCTTCTCAGATTTGATTGTACCATCGGCAGCAACAGTCTCGAATGTCATAGACATGTAGTTCTGGCGGATGGCCTTGCCGCGAGGACCACCAAAGTGAATGGTCAGCTCCTTGGGGTTGTTCTTCACAATGTTGGTGATAGCAAAGCCTGTTGAAGATTAGCAAGTTGATCAAATATCCAGCCACTTTTGACTCACCATAGTTGTCCATGAAGTGCTTGTCGGCACGATCCCAGACTTCCTTGGCAACAGGACTGCTGTTGTAAAGCTCCATACCCATGCCTTGCTCTTGAGAACCTTGACCGGTGAAGACGTAAGATGTAGTGGGTTGTTCAACCTCAGCCTCACCAATCAAGACCTTATCTTCAGTCTCCTGGTTGCTGACCTCGATCTTGATAATCTTACGGCCAGAAACCATACCGACGTGCTGGAGCTTGACGTCTAGCATGTCGTCTGGAAGAACCATGCCGACAAGGTTGACGTGGTAGCTCCTGACACGGCCAACGTTATTTTCGGCAGCCCAAGTCTCGACCAGACTTCGGACAGCTGCGCTGGAGTACATGCCGTGAGTAATGGTGCCAGGGAGATTGGCGTAGCTGGCAAAGACACGTGAGACGTGGATGGGGTTGTAGTCGCCAGAGACGCGAGCGTAGTTCTCGTTGGAGGCTGGCGCCTTCAAGTTCAGAGGCGTCTTGCCGTGCAGCGGGATGGCGTTCTCAAACAGCACTGGCTGGTCGACTGCAGCTCCGTTGCGCTCCAGGTAGTCCATGACAGGGTTGCCATACGCAGTGCCCGATCGGTAGTCGACCGAAGCAATTTGAATGACCTCCTTGGTAGGAAGCTCGAGGAGGACCTCTCCTTCAGTTACAATGTCTGAGAAGACCGTCTTGTTCTTGTACCTAACAACAGTTTCGAGCTTGAAGAGCAAAGTCTTGTTCAGCAGATCGATCTCGGGCTCCTCAAAGTTGAACCACTCTTTTGATCGCAGAATGGCGACATCCTTGCTTGTAGCCAGGCTGAGCTGGATCGGCTTCTCGACCTTCCTTTGGAAGGTGTTCTCAAAGTCGTCGTATGCGCCACGGTACAGGAACTGGCTGGTGATCTCCATCACTGGTTTGCCGTCACGGGTAATGGTGCCGCAAACCTCTACCATCTTACCAGAGTCCTGGTTGATGACGGCGTTGATTTGAGCAGTCGTGTCAAGCACATCACCCTTCTTGAGAGGCTCGGCGCCGGCAATCATGCGGAAGCCGTTGGACAGATGGACGAGCTTGAGCAAGTCACCATCAATCGCGCGGGGGAAGATGGGCTTAGTAATGGCCTTCCAGCCGACGACGATGGCAAAGTCCATGGGAGCAAAGACCTCCTTGCCAGGTCGGTCAACGAAAGCCTCGCCTGTGTTGCCAACTGCGTGAACAAAGTCGTTGATGGCCTCGCTTGTCACTGTGGCACGGCCACCATCGAAGCGTGAAGTGACGGAAGCATCGAATGGGCAGGCTTCATCACCGAACCAGATCTTGTAGTAGAACTCCTTGATGCGGTCATTGCGGGCATCCATAACCTCGTGAATGGGCGCGTAGCCCACGTCAGGGCGGTAAGTGAAGCGGAATGGCAGCGCAACAGGTTGCTTGAGGGCAGTACGCTCCTCGTAGAGGTTGAGCAAAATCTCGTTGTTGTCTGTGAGGCTGACCTCGACAGTCTTGATCAGCTTGCCGCCGGTATGCACCTCCTTGACGATAATGGCAGTCTTGGCGGGCTCCTTGGGGTTCTGAATCTCGACCAGCATACCGGGAGTTGGAGCGAAAATTCGTGCAGTTGGGTTGGTCTGGAAACGCTGACCTTGTACAAAAATGTCCGCAGTGAAGAAAGCGTGCCTCCATGAGTAGCTGGTGCCAGCTAGGAGTTGCAGCCATGAGTGAACATCAGGCATGGTGGCATTGGGAGCAGCAGAGAGGCGGTACATGACCTTGGTCTCGAGCTCTGAAATGGTAAGACCATCAACTTCCAGACCTTGGGGAGGCGCAAGCAGCTTGCTACCAAAGTACTCGATAATGGGGACCTTGGACTCGTCATCTCCGTAAATGTCGCGGAGAAGGTACTTGATGTGGCCCTCATGAACACCGTCAAGGATTTCCTTGATCGGCTCGTCGACCTTTGTGGAGTACTTGACGGCCATAGGGCCTTGGAGGATACATGTCCTGCCAACGTCCTGATCAACAACAGCATCGAGATCCTCGGATTGCCACAGCGAATCCTTCTTGAAGAAGAATTCAAAGGTGTCGTCTAGGACAGGAACGAAGGGGACAGGCTTCTGTCCACGACGCTGGCAGAGCAACAGGAAGTGCTGCACATCTTGGGCGTTGATGAGCTGCTCATCGGCCTCGGGATAGGCCTTGAAGACCTTCTCAAGCATGGGGAAGGGGTCGTTGAGCTCTTCATAGTTTTGGATCAATGACTCGCTGCTGGTCTTGCTGAAGCGCTCCTCTAGTCGGCGGATAAAGTCGCCAGTCAAGCGCTTCAAGCTCGGGTCAATCCAGCGGGACTGGTGCTTGACGTACATCAAGTCTACCATGCGTTGGACGACCTCGGCGTACGTCATGTCTTCGAGATCAACTGACATGCCCTTCTTGTTCTTGCCGAACCAGACCTTCTGGAAATCCTTGTTCAGCTTGTCAATGATGTACTCGCGCATCTTCTTAAGTTCAGGCACGCGCTTGGCCTTGTCAAGACTGAAGATCTTCTGGTCCATCTCATGCCAGAAGATGACACCACGAGTAGCGAGCTTGTGGATTGGCTCGCCCATTTCCGAGCGAACAGTAATGACACCACCAGCGGGGCCCTTGTACGTCTTCTCCCACTCGCTGTCTTCAAGACCTGGGGCATCCACAATGGCCTGCTTAGCCATCTTCGAAGTATGCGCCTCCTTGGCAGTCATGACACGGCTACCGAACAAGCAACCGTCGAAAGGCATGGGCGGGTAACCAAACTTGGTGGACCATGATCCGGTGAGGTATGGGTAAGTGTCTTCTGCGCCACCGAAGCCAGAACCGGCAACAAGGATGAGGTTTTCGCACTTTCGCAGACGGCTGTACATTTGCAGAATGGGCTGATGGAAGTCTTCGAATGAGTGGTGACCGCCACCACGACCACCAGTCCACTGCAGAAGGACAGGGAAAGTGGGGTTCGCCTTGGCAATGTTGATTGTCTGCTGGATGGCCTCGACCGAACCTGGCTTGAAAGCAATGTGCTTGATCCCCAGAGTCTCAATGTACTCGTTAGCGACTTCGATTGAGGGTACACCAGCACCGATGGTAAGACCTTCAATGGGCACGCCATCGGCTCGCAGCTTGGCCAAAAGGGGAATCTGCCAGCCCATGGCTCGTGGGTTGACATAGATCAAGTTGATGGTGATACCCCTGCCAGCAGGAATGGCCTTCTCGACCTTGGAAATGGCAGCAGTCATGGTCTTCTCATTGTAGTAACCACCGCCAGCAAGTTCGATCTCGTAACCGGCGTTCATGGTAGCCGCCACAAAGTCCCATGGAACTGTGCAGGGAGTCATACCAGCTACCATGACTGGAGGCAAGCCCAGTACGCGGCTCATCTTGGTGTCGACATAAGTCTGGCCCGTGGACGTCTTGACCAGACGAGGACCGTGTTCCTTGACCCAGTCGACAGCGTACTTGACGGCATGGTCGAAGTCACGGTCGAAGATTTCAGGCTTGTACCCAACTTCGGCGTTCTGTCCATCAATAGCACCGGCAAGGATGACGCGGACACCAGTTCCGTCCTTGTTGCGGTTCGTAAGAACACCAAGACCAGAGATGCCACCAGGGCCAAAGTCGAGGATATGAGTTGCCTTGGGGAACACGGTCGCCTTCTCCCACTCTACCGAGTCGGCAGTGATCATGCTCACGAGCCTGGGGACAATGTTTTCTGTCTCCGTCTCGCGGATGTCTTGGCCGGTATGGGTATCGTACATGGGAATGCCAAGATCGGCAGTGGAGATCTTGATGGCCTTGAGGTCCTCTTCGAGTTGCTTGGTCGCATCGGCGAGGTAAGGGCTGTGGAATGGAGCCGTGATGGGCAGGAATCGGTTGACAAAGCGTACCTTGCGCTCTGTAAAGGGAATCCTGGTCTGGTCCAGACCGGTAGGAGCCTTGTCTTTGCGCAGACGAAGGTTGAGACCGTACAGGGAGATGGGTGGACCTGTAACAACAAAGTTGCGTGCGCTGTTGACAAGAGAAATGGCAATGTGTCGGTCTTCGGGCAGATGGGCGTTGGTCGCGTCAATGTGCTCCTGCACTGCTTTTCTCGACAGATCACGAATCGACAGCATAGGCGTTGGTGTGCCCTCGCCATGGTCAATTGAGTCCTGTAGCACTGTCGGGGCGAGCGATGTCCTGGGGAAGGCTTGCTGACTTCGTGTGCCGATCCAGAAGAGGATCTCAATGGCCTTCTTGGCGGCCCGCTGGAAGGTCTCCCAGTTCTTGGCTTCAGCAATGGCGGCCGCTGTGACAACACCTTGCGAGTGGCCAGTGACACCGGACAGGCGGCTTCGCACATGGCCCGGGTGGCTGCCGAGGACTCTGCAGGTGACAACGTAGTGTGCGAGCTGAGTCAACCCAATCAAGGGCAAACTGACGGGCGCCGAAACCAGGTAGTCGGTATCGGGCTGCGAGTCCCGGTTGTTGAGCCATCGCATTACATCGAGACCCTTGGAGTAGAGCTTCTCGGCGCGCGGGTCTCGCGACAGCTGCAGAAGGTGTTGGGCCTCGGCGGCAATGAAGTCCTCGACGAACGAGGGGTACGTGTTGTAGATTTCGCGGAGTTCATCAAAGTACTCCTCGATGTTTCCCTGTCCGCCCAGAACAGCATATAGGAAGGCGTTCTCGTCGGAGGCTTCCCGGAAGAGAGCCGACTCGTGGTGCTTGATGGGCCTGTCTACCGCCGCGCGAGCAGCGTAGTATGACCGCACCGTCACCAGCTTCTTCTCGGTGATGCCAGGCAGCGATGCAGCCAGCGCATGCACCTCGTTGCCCCGCAGGAAGGCACGCTCGAACTCGGTGAGGACGAGCTTGAGCACCTCCTCGAAGGAGTCGGGGTCCTCGCCCTCCTCTACCTCGTTGGCCACAAAGCCCAGGTACCGGGCCACCAGCTCGGCAACCGAGGAGGGCTCATCGTCTTGGGCAAGCTCGTCGGTGGGCTCGGGGAGCGTGGTCTTGAATGTATCCCTCAGCTGCTGTGCATTGAAGTGCAGCGCCGTGGGAATCAGGAGCGTGTACTCGAGCGAGCCGTGCGAGAGGATGAGCGGGCGCAGGTTGGCTGCGGAGCGGGGCGTCGAGATGCCCGTCTGCTGGCCGGAACCGTACATGGTGTGGGTATGAGATTACTTTTTGCCCTGAAGCGGCAAGTGTCAGTACAGTGTGCTGGCGGCGGCGGTGGTGGTGATGTTGTCGGCGGGGTGCCGCATTGAGGACGGGCGTGGAGGGGGGGGGGGAAGAGGGAGAAGTGAAAGAGGGCAGGCGCAAGGCGGAAGGAGCGTACCTTGAGAAGGACTATGGCTGGGGAAAGAGCGACTTGAAGAGGGAAAGAGCGACTGGGCGGCGTAAGTAAGGGCAGACAGGGTAGTGCTCACGCAATGTGCGGTGGGGGCAATGTGATGTGCTCAGCATCACGGCAGACACATCAGCATTCGCCGCGAGGCGGGCGGGCGTATAAGCGGGCGTGGAAATGGCTCAATGCGTACCTCTTCACTCGGGCAGAAGCGAATCTGGCCTTTGTATGAAGCGTGCGCGGGAATTGGGCGCGCTGCTGGGCGGATACCGTGAGGAGCAGCTCCCGTGC